TGACTTGAGAGGCGAAGAAGAAAATTGGAAAGGCCAAGAATAAAACTGGTAGGCACCGGCCTACCCAGGCCTATCCCTGGCCGCGGCTGGGCCGTGCATGTGAATGTAAATGTGTTTCTATTGAATGCTATTTCTTTCTTTATAATCTTTATCTTTATAATACGAATTGCATTAACGTATATATTTAAAATAATTATGTATTGTCTATAGAATTCTATGCGAATTCGAAAATAAAGACATTCTGAAAGCGATCTGCCTCTCGTGATTTTTTAGTGAGGTCTTCTTCTGGTATTTACTGTTTGGCTGAGCAAAAGTTTTAATAGTATTGGTTAAAATAAATGCCATTTTCAAACACGGCGTGATGTAAATAAGAGAGAGAGCGAGAGAGAGACGCTGACGCATTTTGGCTCAGTGCGCTGGTGTGCAATCAATGGAATACATCACAATACTCATCAAACAAGATCCATTCAGTTTTATCATTGGAGGAAATGTTTATTAAATTAGCAATTGGCACCTTGACAAAACACTGGATATAGAAATCCTAACAATAGTAGGCTAATATAGGCTAACGTGGACATCCCTTGGCCCGTGGGGATATCACATGCCAGTTCAATTTGGAGAGACGAGAAACAGGAAGTTTTGAGTATTTTATTGGGAGGAGGTTTGGCGCCCTAGGCCCCGGTGCGGCCTTCAGATCGGAAAGGCTCCTGCGCTGGAGCGCGCACAATCCCCCGGGACCTAGGCACTGGTGGCGGCATTTGGCAGCAGGAAGCAGATTGGAGGCAGATTGGAGGCAGGGTGAAGAGGAGGAGGAGGGGAGGCGGTGGTTGCGAGGCTTCAGGAGGCAGAGAGTGGTAGTTTTTCCGTTTTTATGCGGCTGGCGTAGTCGGTACGATGATTGGAAGGGGGCGTCTGCTGAGCGATAGGCTGGGATGCGAGCCGGCCTGGAGGGGGTAAATTTGGTTAACGTCTACCAAATTGAACTTTCGCTGGCTGCATTTCAATTTGGAGAGACGAGAAACAGGAAGTTTTGAGTATTTTATTGGGAGGAGGTTTGGCGCCCTAGGCCCCGGTGCGGCCTTCAGATCGGAAAGGCTCCTGCGCTGGAGCGCGCACAATCCCCAAAAAGGCTGCGTGTTGATGGAGTTTTCGAAGCCTGGTTTGGAGGGGACAGACGTCGTGACTGCTCTATTCTGTGACCGCTATCGCTAAGCTGTGACCGCTATCGCTATGCTGTGACCGCTATCGCTATGCTGTGACCGCTATCGCTATATGCTGTGACCGCTATCGCTATGCTGTGACCGCTATCGCTATATGCTGTGACCGCTATCGCTATATGCTGTGACCGCTATCGCTATATGCTGTGACCGCTATCGCTATATGCTGTGACCGCTATCGCTATATACTGTGACCGCTATCGCTATATGCTGTGACCGCTATCGCTATATGCTGTGACCGCTATCTACTGTGATCAATACTTGCGGATACTCGGCTGCTGGCGGCGCCTATCCGGAAGGAGTGAGCTGCGTAGAGATGGGGAGACAGGTTACAAAGCAGCAGTACGGACTTTGGTTGGGCTCTGAACCCGTTGGATGACATTGGGAGGTGATCGGGGGTGAGAAATAACGGTCCGTTGAGATCTCCTTTCCGAGAGCGGAGGTGAGTGTAATGCATCGTGGGTTATCTTTGCGCGTTGGGAACGTGAGCGTTCGCATCACGTTCCGTCAGACGCTGCGGCAGCGGAGAGTGTTTGAGAAGTGCGTGCCGCCACCAGAATCTTATTGCTTCGCTTACTTTGCTTCGTATTGCTTTGCTGGGAGCTTGCGAGGAAGCCAGTAGACGTTGTGCAGCCAGGATAGCGGACGCGTCTGGCCTGATGTAGGCGGAGAAAGCCGAAGAGGACCAGCTCCCCAGCTGTTGGAGAGGTGGGGGAGCCCCAGCGAGGTCGTGCGCGTGGCAGCGCCTATCCTGAAGGAGTGGGCTGTGTAGAGCTGGGGAGACAAATTGCAGAGGAGCAGTAGGGATCTTAGTTGAGCTCTGAACCAGGTTGCTGACATGGGAAGGTTGTCTGAGAGAGATGTGTCGGAGCGAGCTATTATTATGTTGCAGGCGCCTTGGTCTTTGAATGTTTGAGATGAAGGTTGAAAGGGTCAGGGGACGTTATGTTGGGTGAAAAAGAGCAACCTTTGTTTAATGCTTCCACTACGTCGAGATTATCGCGCATGACAGAGATCCTCTTTCTCTGCCACGTGTGATTCCACAGCGCGCAGGCCAAGACCACTGGGAATATCTCGTGTAGGGCAGAGGAGATGCTCCGGTGGAAGTAGCGGCCACGGCCCGGCAACCCGATGGTCCTGGAAGAATCCCCCAAAACCCACGGAAGGGGCACGTCCGTGTAGAAGCGGAGACCTATAGGGGCAGAGACATATCGGAGAGGGCCAATGATGTTGCAGGCGCCCTTACGCTTAGAATCTTGGGTTGGAGAGTAGATAATCAGGATAGTAGGATGGTCGGGAAGCCGCGTCTCGGACCGCATGAAGGTTGAGTGAGCAGTAGTGAACGCTTATGCAGAGAAGCCATAGAAGGCGAGCAGGAAGATGCTGCGAGTAAGTAAGTAAGTAAGTAATGTTTATTTATATACCGCCTTTCACAGACAAGGGTCACAAAGCGGTTTACAATTGTTATTATTTTTTTGGGCATTTGTCTCTCACTCCACACAGAGATGGGAGCGGGATCGCCAAACAGGAGGCGCATGCTAGAACTATTGTACATATTTTTAGTGGTAGGGGAAACCGGAGTACCCGGAGGAAACCTACGCAGACACGGGGAGAACATGCAAACTCCACTCAGAAAGGCCCTGGTCCGACCAGGATTCGAACCCAGGACCTTCTTGCTGAGAGGCGAGAGTGCTATCCACTCAGCCACCGTGCCGCCCAGGTCTGCGAGGAGGGCAGACATGTACTTGGAAGATGAGCCGGAGTTCAGTGCCGCTCAGAGCTGCTGCAGGATGGGCAGCACGATGGGGGAGCCTGCGATCAGAAGAGTGAAGAATACAGGTATGGATGCCTTTGATTAGGAGTCCGATTGACGGCTCAGCGCAGCTACTCGGCCGGCTGCATCTGATAGAATCAGAAGATTTAGGTAGAGAGATGAAGCATGACCGCCGAAGCGACCCTGGGAGCATAGGTGCGAGTCCAGCGCAGCGCGGCATACTCAGCCGGGCTGCATCCATTAGAAACAGGATAAGCTTCTGAGAGAGTGGGTTGCAGCAGTAGCAGTAGCAGCAGCGGCAGCAGCAGTACCTCAGATAATAACAGCGATAACCTGTATCAAGCCGCGGCAGCAGCAGCAGCAGCAGCAGCAGCATCCTTAGAGATTAACAGTAATAAGCCTGTATCAAGCCACAGCAGTAGAATGTTGTCGTAGCTGATCAGTGTTTCAGTAAAAGAGATGCAAGTGAAGAGAAGATGGCAAGTAAATGAAGCAGCAGCAGTAGTAGCAGCAGTGCGGTATAGAGCAGCAGCAGTAGGAGTATGGAGCAGCGGCAGCAGCAGTAGTAGCCGTATGAAGCAGCAGCAGCAGTAGCAGCAGCAGCAGCTGCAGCATCCGTAGATAATAACAGCGATGATCCTGTATCAAGCCACGGCAGTAGGATGTTGTTGTAGCTGTTCAGTGTGAGGGATTTAAACAGGTTTTACGGTCCAAGTGATTTAACAGGTTTTACGGTCCAAGTGAGGGATTAACTGAGCCGGCAGTCCAAGTGAGGAGTTTAAACTGAGAGCTTACAGTCCGGTGTGAGGGATCCAACAGAGCCTGCGTTTTTTTTTTTTTTTTTTTTTTTAATTTATTTCTTTATATTTATTTATATTTATTTATATTTATTTATATTTATGTATTTATTTATATGTATTTATTTATTCATTCATTTAGTTTTAATATATAGCGTTCCAGATATAGGCAGTACCATATATGCAGTTCCATATACTGCATAACAGTTCCAGGTATAACAGTACCATATAAGCAGTTCCAATATAGCGGTTCCATATATAAGCAGTTCCATATGAAGCAGTTCCAGATACGGTACAACAGTTCCAGATATAAGCATTTCCAGATATAACATTTCCAGATATTAGCATTTCCAGATATTAGCATTTCCAGACATAGCATTTCCAGATATTAGCATTTCCAGATATTAGCATTTCCAGATATTAACATTTCCAGATATTAGCATTTCCAGATATTAGCATTTCCCAGATATAAGCAGTTCCGTGAGGGATTAACCTGAGAGCTCACAGACCAATGTAAGGGATTCATTTTGGGAGCCGCAGTCCGAGAGGGATGTAAACGGGGCTTGCAGTCCAAGAGAGGGATTTAAACAGAGCTCGTAGTCCAGAGAGGGATTTAAACAGAGCATGCAGTCCAATGTGAGGGATTAAAACAGAGGTCTTGCAGTCCAATGTGAGGGATTAAAACAGAGGTCTTGCAGTCCAATGTGAGGGATTAAAACAGAGGTCTTGCAGTCCAATGTGAGGGATTAAACTGAGGTCTTGCAGTCCAATGTGAGGGATTAAAACTGAGGTCTTGCAGTCCAATGTGAGGGATTAAAACAGAGGTCTTGCAGTCCAATGTGAGGGATTAAACTGAGGTCTTGCAGTCCAATGTGAGGGATTAAAACTGAGGTCTTGCAGTCCAGTGTGAGGGATTAAAACTGAGGTCTTGCAGTCCAATGTGAGGGATTAAACTGAGGTCTTGCAGTCCAGTGTGAGGGATTAAAACTGAGGTCTTGCAGTCCAATGTGAGGGATTAAAACTGAGCCTGCAGTACAATGTGAGGGATTAAAACTGAGCCTGCAGTACAATGCGAGGGGAATAAACCGTGCGCAGATCTCATACATACCCACAGCGCCAGAAGACAAGGGACAACACAACGGGACCACGCCGTATCGGCACGAGGAGGCAGGGATGCGCACGGCTCCCACCGCACCGGGCTAGACCGGCCGTATGCAGCAGCAGGCCGCGACGAGACGAGCAGCGGCAAACCCGCGGAAAGAGCCCGCAAAGGAGAGAGCGGCAAGACCCACGGACCACAGCACGAGACCCGCAGCAGGTGCAGCCACAGGAGGAGCAGACCACAACGCAGCAAGACAGAGGACACCAGGAGCAGGTGCAGCCACAGGAGGAGCAGACCACACGCAGCAAGACAGAGGACAGCAGGAGCAGGTGCAGCCACAGGAGGAGCAGACCACACGCAGCAAGACAGAGGACACCAGGAGCAGGTGCAGCCACAGGAGGAGCAGACCACACGCAGCAAGACAGAGGACAGCAGGAGCAGGTGCAGCCACAGGAGGAGCAGACCACACGCAGCAAGACAGAGGACAGCAGGAGCAGGTGCAGCCACAGGAGGAGCAGACCACACGCAGCAAGACAGAGGACACCAGGAGCAGGTGCAGCCACAGGAGGAGCAGACCACACGCAGCAAGACAGAGGACACCAGGAGCAGGTGCAGCCACAGGAGGAGCAGACCACACGCAGCAAGACAGAGGACACCAGGAGCAGGTGCAGCCACAGGAGGAGCAGACCACGCAGCAAGACAGAGGACACCAGGAGCAGGTGCAGCCACAGGAGGAGCAGACCACACGCAGCAAGACAGAGGACAGCAGGAGCAGGTGCAGCCACAGGAGAAGCAGACCACACGCAGCAAGACAGAGGACACCAGGAGCAGGTGCAGCCACAGGAGGAGCAGACCACACGCAGCAAGACGGAGGACACCAGGAGCAGGTGCAGCCACAGGAGGAGCAGACCACAACGCAGCAAGACAGAGGACAGCAGGAGCAGGTGCAGCCACAGGAGGAGCAGACCACACGCAGCAAGACAGAGGACACCAGGAGCAGGTGCAGCCACAGGAGAAGCAGACCACACGCAGCAAGACAGAGGACACCAGGAGCAGGTGCAGCCACAGGAGGAGCAGACCACACGCAGCAAGACGGAGGACACCAGGAGCAGGTGCAGCCACAGGAGGAGCAGACCACACGCAGCAAGACAGAGGACACCAGGAGCAGGTGCAGCCACAGGAGGAGCAGACCACAACGCAGCAAGACAGAGGACACCAGGAGCAGGTGCAGCCACAGGAGGAGCAGACCACACGCAGCAAGACAGAGGACACCAGGAGCAGGTGCAGCCACAGAGGAGCAGACCACACGCAGCAAGACAGAGGACACCAGGAGCAGGTGCAGCCACAGGAGGAGCAGACCACACGCAGCAAGACAGAGGACACCAGGAGCAGGTGCAGCCACAGGAGAAGCAGACCACACGCAGCAAGACAGAGGACACCAGGAGCAGGTGCAGCCACAGGAGGAGCAGACCACACGCAGCAAGACGGAGGACACCAGGAGCAGGTGCAGCCACAGGAGGAGCAGACCACACGCAGCAAGACAGAGGACACCAGGAGCAGGTGCAGCCACAGGAGGAGCAGACCACACGCAGCAAGACAGAGGACACCAGGAGCAGGTGCAGCCACAGGAGAAGCAGACCACACGCAGCAAGACGGAGGACACCAGGAGCAGGTGCAGCCACAGGAGGAGCAGACCACACGCAGCAAGACGGAGGACACCAGGAGCAGGTGCAGCCACAGGAGGAGCAGACCACACGCAGCAAGACGGAGGACACCAGGAGCAGGTGCAGCCACAGGAGGAGCAGACCACACGCAGCAAGACAGAGGACACCAGGAGCAGGTGCAGCCACAGGAGAAGCAGACCACACGCAGCAAGACGGAGGACACCAGGAGCAGGTGCAGCCACAGGAGGAGCAGACCACAACGCAGCAAGACAGAGGACACCAGGAGCAGGTGCAGCCACAGGAGAAGCAGACCACAACGCAGCAAGACAGAGGACACCAGGAGCAGGTGCAGCCACAGGAGGAGCAGACCACACGCAGCAAGACAGAGGACACCAGGAGCAGGTGCAGCCACAGGAGGAGCAGACCACACGCAGCAAGACAGAGGACACCAGGAGCAGGTGCAGCCACAGGAGGAGCAGACCACACGCAGCAAGACGGAGGACACCAGGAGCAGGTGCAGCCACAGGAGGAGCAGACCACACGCAGCAAGACAGAGGACACCAGGAGCAGGTGCAGCCACAGGAGGAGCAGACCACGCAGCAAGACAGAGGACACCAGGAGCAGGTGCAGCCACAGGAGGAGCAGACCACAACGCAGCAAGACGGAGGACACCAGGAGCAGGTGCAGCCACAGGAGAAGCAGACCACACGCAGCAAGACAGAGGACACCAGGAGCAGGTGCAGCCACAGGAGAAGCAGACCACACGCAGCAGACGGAGGACACCAGGGACACGCACGAGTAACGTGAGTAGACAAAAGCGATTCCTCCAGAACGATTCTTTGCGAGGCTTCAGGAGCTGCGAGGCTTCAGGAGGTTGCGAGGCTTCAGGAGGCAGAGAGTGGTAGTTTTTCCGTTTTTATGCGGCTGGCGTAGTCGGTACGATGATTGGAAGGGGGCGTCTGCTGAGCGATAGGCTGGGATGCGAGCCGGCCTGGAGGGGGTAAATTTGGTTAACGTCTACCAAATTGAACTTTCGCTGGCTGCATTTGCCTCTCCCTTCAAGGCTATGACCTGGTCGATGACTTTGTCCAGGTGGTCTATATATTTATTGCAGACCTGGGTTGTGAGTTTGTTTAGCCAAAAAAACTCTATTGCGGAGATCAGTGCGTCCTTGCTCATCGGCTTGGCCTCACAGCGAATGTATCTTTTCATGGACGCCCACACTAACTCAATGGGGTTCAGATCCGGCGACCTTAAACAAAAACACATGGACATGTCAGCACTGTTAGCCTATTTTCCGATACAGCATGTATTCATCCAGAATATATATATATTTAAAATAACTACGGTAACTCACTCTGCCGGTGTCGGTACCCAGTTGATCCCCTCACTTTCAATGCAGGCTTTGACACTTTTTGCTGTGTGTTTTGGATCGTTGTCTTAAAAAATCAAACAGGACAAATTAGGAGGACAACTTAATCATTAAACAAACATTAGTAGCCTAATCATCACGACGTTGCTTTTGTCATAATCATGCTGAAGATTTGGAATACAGATTGTTAGCCTACCTTGGAAGAATCTATGTGTAGACATACGGAAATGCTCCCTTAAGTATGGACCAGCAGCTTTTTTGATGATTTCTTCCGCGTAGAAGTGTTGATCCATTATACCTGCGGGTTTAAATAATATGTTAGCATATTGTAACAATTTATTTAGCATAGCCTACTTTGCATGCATTGCTTTCAAAACTTCATCACTCACCGTCAAAAATGACCAACGGACCAGGTCCCCATCGAGAAATTCCACCCCAAACATGCATTTTGACCGGGTGCTTCACTCTTGGTTTTGCAATGCCCCTGAAGTTGGTCTTTCTCCAGCACTTCAAGGCAAAACGTTCCAGTGCCACAGTTGACTCGTCAGTGAAGAGAACATCATCAAACTTTTCACCTGCAGCCTTCCATTCTTGAGCCATATACATTAAATATTGTGATATGTTTTGATAAACCGAACGTTACGTTACATCCTCCGCTCAGTGAACGCACTGCCGTCTGGGCTCCGAGCGCGGACCATAGACACGCGGACTCACGTCTCTCTCTCTCTGCTCGCGTCTCTCTCTCTGCTCGCGTCTCTCTCTCTGCTCGCGTCTCTCTCTCTGCTCGCGTCTCTCTCTCTGCTCGCGTCTCTCTCTCCCTGCTCGCGTCTCTCTCTCTGCTCGCGTCTCTCTCTCTCTGCTCGCGTCTCTCTCTCTGCTCACGTCTCTCTCTCTGCTCACGTCTCTCTCTCTGCTCGCGTCTCTCTCTCTGCTCGCGTCTCTCTCTCTCTGCTCGCGTCTCTCTCTGCTCACGTCTCTCTCTCTCTGCTCACGTCTCTCTCTGCTCTCTCTCTCTGCTCACCTCTCTCTCTCTCTGCTCGCGTCTCTCTCTCTCTGCTCACGTCTCTCTCTCTGCTCGCGTCTCTCTCTCTGCTGCTCACCTCTCTCTCTCTCTGCTCGCGTCTCTCTCTCTGCTCACCTCTCTCTCTCTCTGCTCGCGTCTCTCTCTCTGCTCACCTCTCTCTCTCTCTGCTCGCGTCTCTCTCTCTCTCTCTGCTCACCTCTCTCTCTCTCTCTCTGCTCACGTCTCTCTCTCTGCTCGTGTCCCTCTCTCTCTGCTCACGTCTCTCTCTCTCTGCTCGCATCTCTCTCTCTCTGCTCACCTCTCTCTCTCTCTGCTCGCGTCTCTCTCTCTCTGCTCACGTCTCTCTCTCTCTCTGCTCGCGTCTCTCTCTCTCTGCTCTCTCTCTCTGCTCGCGTCTCTCTCTCTCTCTCTGCTCACGTCTCTCTCTCTCTCTCTGCTCGCGTCTCTCTCTCTCTGCTCGCGTCTCTCTCTCTCTGCACAACATTGTTGACAAACAAGCCTGACTGGCCTCCTTCACGTCTGCTACTACTACCTGAAAAGAGGGCGTGGCTACTGTGACTTTTCCATTATAAAAGAACCACTCTCTTGAGTTAGAAATACTCACTACATGCAGCAATGAGTACAGATGAAGAGGGACCAGAGAGACAAGCAACGTTGGCCACTGCTGACTCCATTCAAAGACTCAGGCTTTCTAATGCAGCACATTAAGACAACCTCAAATAGGATCACTCGTGGCTTCTGCTTTCACAAGTGCTTCTTTTTGGGGTTGTCTTGGTTGTGAATTTACCATCAATAATTGTCTGCCTTTTTACGTTTTGAAGGCTATTTTTCGGTTTTATATAGCCCGGTCATTCACATTGCCCTGGCAGTTGCACTGACTTGATATTTGAAAGCAGTAAGTGCTACTTGTTGGGGTAATGTTGGTGATTTAAGCCACAGACATTTCCATTGTTAATGGAATCAATGTGGAACAAATGGTTAAAATCACAAAAAAGAGCAGAGATACAAAGATGGACAGGACATGTATTGCTAGATAGTGGCAAAGTTCTGCAAGTTCAAATTGGATATAGTGTGAGGTAATAAACTATATATTTTTTCATTGTACATTGTTTGTTTGCGGAGTATCTACAGAGACAACATAGTTGACATCAAGCCTGACTGGCCTCCTTAACATCTGCTGATACTACTTGAAAAGAGGGCGTGGCAGCAGCAGATGAAGAGGGACCAGAGAGACAAGCAACTTTGGCCACCGCTGACTCCATTCAAAGACTCAGGCTTTCTAATGCAGCACATTAAGACAACCTCAAATAGGATCACTCGTGGCTTCTGCTTTCACAAGTGCTTCTTTTTGGGGTTGTCTTGGTTGTGAATTTACCATCAATAATTGTCTGCCTTTTTACGTTTTGAAGGCTATTTTTCGGTTTTATATAGCCCGGTCATTCACATTGCCCTGGCAGTTGCACTGACTTGATATTTGAAAGCAGTAAGTGCTACTTGTTGGGGTAATGTTGGTGATTTAAGCCACAGACATTTCCATTGTAAATGGAATCAATGTGGAACAAATGGTTAAAATCACAAAAAAGAGCAGAGATACAAAGATGGACAGGACATGTATTGCTAGATAGTGGCAAAGTTCTGCAAGTTCAAATTGGATATAGTGTGAGGTAATAAAGTTTTTTTTTTTCATTGATCATGGTACATTGTTTTTTTACTGAGTATCTAGAGAGACAACATTGTTGACAAACAAGCCTGACTGGCCTCCTTCACGTCTGCTACTACTACCTGAAAAGAGGGCGTGGCTACTGTGACTTTTCCATTATAAAAGAACCACTCTCTTGAGTTAGAAATACTCACTACATGCAGCAATGAGTACAGATGAAGAGGGACCAGAGAGACAAGCAACTTTGGCCACTGCTGACTCCATTCAAAGACTCAGGCTTTCTAGAGAATAGATTTTAAAGTAGCTTTACTTGTGTACAAGTCTCTCCATGGCCTCGCACCGGGGTACATCCGCGACATGTTGGTGCCATATGAACCGGCTCGGGCTCTGAGGAGCACAGGGACTGGACTTCTGTTAGTGCCAAGAGTCGGAACTAGACATGGGGAGGCTGCGTTTCAGATTCATGCAGCTAGAGTCTGGAACCGTCTTCCCGAGAGTGTGAGACAGGCGTCTACTCTGGCAGTTTTTAAAACTGAACTGAAAACAGTTCTTTTTAGCTGTGCATACAAGTGAATGATTTTACATTTGTTTTATCTTTAATCTTTTTAATGCGCATATTGATTAGTTTGATGTAATCTATTTTTTCATTGTACATTGTTGTTTCGAGTATCTACGGACACTGTTGACATAAGCTGATGCTCTTAACGTCTGCTTTTACTACTTGATTAAGATGCGTGTCTAACTGTCTTTTCATTATAAATGCTAATGTTTGATGATTAGCAGATTATAGGGTTGTGAGGCGCTTTGCGTTGCCTTGTGTAGGAAAGGCGCTCTATAAATAAACGTTGATTGATTGATTGATTGATTGATTGATTTATTGATTGATTGATTGATAATGCAGCACATTAAGACAACCTCAAATAGGATCACTCGTGGCTTCTGCTTTCACAAGTGCTTCTTTTTGGGGTTGTCTTGGTTGTGAATTTACCATCAATAATTGTCTGCCTTTTTACGTTTTGAAGGCTATTTTTCGGTTTTATATAGCCCGGTCATTCACATTGCCCTGGCAGTTGCACTGACTTGATATTTGAAAGCAGTAAGTGCTACTTGTTGGGGTAATGTTGGTGATTTAAGCCACAGACATTTCCATTGTTAATGGAATCAATGTGGAACAAATGGTTAAAATCACAAAAAAGAGCAGAGATACAAAGATGGACAGGACATGTATTGCTAGATAGTGGCAAAGTTCTGCAAGTTCAAATTGGATATAGTGTGAGGTAATAAACTATATTTTTTCATTGTACATTGTTTGTTTGCGGAGTATCTACAGAGACAACATAGTTGACATCAAGCCTGACTGGCCTCCTTAACATCTGCTGATACTACTTGAAAAGAGGGCTTGGCAGCAGCAAATGAAATGGAATCAATGTGGAACGAATGGTTAAAATCAGAAACAAGAGCAGGCATACAAAGATGGACAGGAAATGATTTTTTTTGTTAAAAAAGTTTCAATTATCCAATAAATTTCGTTCCACTTCACGACTGTGTCCCACTTGTTCTTGATTCTTGACAAAAAATTAAATTTTTATATCTTTATTTTTGAAGCCTGAAATGTGGCGAAATGTTGAAAGTTTCAAGGGGGCCGAATACTTTCGCAAGGCACTGTAAATAAGAGAGAGCGAGACGCTGACGAATTTTGGCTCAGTGCGCTGGTGTGCAATCAATGGAATACATCACAATACTCATCAAAC